TATATAATAAATAAATATATATATAATTTTTTCTTATCTTTTGTTCCGCATCCAATGTTGATCTTCTTGAAATTGGATCACTATACTATGTCGATTACCATATCTCTCTTCGTTCCATATCTTTATTTAAACGAAATAATCTCATAAACTCTAAATTATTTAGCTCAAATGGATCACTATGTTGAAACCTTTCTCTGTTTTCGAAAATATTTGCATTTTCTAAAATATCTATTGTGGGAAAATTATAGGAAGGTCAGAATTTTCTTAAACAAAAATATTTTATTCCGTGCCTTTCTCACAGGTTGTGTCTATCTTAGACTGACTCGTCGGTGCCTGTTCTTGCAGGATGCCTCGCAAGACGCTCGCGATTCGCGAGTCGCGTGTATTAATGCGCGGGTTTTTGGCCGCGCTACGTGACCGTGTGGGAATCAGGATTCGCATAGAGTATAAGACTCTAAATAAACTAAAAATCCTACACTATTGCTGATAAAATCAACTAATCTTCTTAAAGCCGCCATATCGTACTGTTATAATAAAATTTTGGTTATTTATCAATGAATCTTCGTTTCGAATACTGACCCATACGATGTAAATCACATGAGATTTTTCGAATACGATCGCGTAGCAATCGTTCAGAAATATCAACTATTCATCGTATACGAAAATCGTATACGAAACTGCCATTTTCGTATGTTTGTTTAAGATGAGGGCTCCTGTTGTACATACTTTATTGTCTACATATTGCGCACTTTTATATATTATATCTTCTTGTGTATAAATATGTGTAATATATACAGTGTGCTTTCGCAACCTGCATAGTAAGTCGAGTTGCCTATCTGTCTATGGACAGGAGTGTTAAGAGTTCTCTACATAGAAGTCGTAGACGGTTGTGGAATCTTAAGTCGCAGGAAATCAACCAAACACAATCAAAAATATAAAGAGACTGTTCTTATTAGAATTGGTTTCTTACGACTTAAGACTCCACGACTTTCTATGACTTCTATGTAGAGGACCCTTTACTGGTAATGCAGAATATGATTAAATCGCAAGTTTGGCGGGGAATGAGACAAGAGAAATTGAATTTTATTCTGATATAGTAAAATTTAATATTATATAAAATATGTATTTAATAATATAAATGTAATAGTAAATGCCTCTATCCATGAGCAGACTGGCAACTCAATTTACTGATGTATAAGTTACGGAAGCATCCTGTGCACTCATTGACCTCGACTTAGGATTTCTTTTTAAACTATCACGATTATTGTATGCTAGTTACTACTTACAACTTTAAAATAATTTTAAAGATAAAATAATTAAGATAATTAATAAAATAATTAGATAAGACAGTTAGATAATTAATTATTAGATAATTAGATAAGATAATTAGATTTTTAAGATAATTTTTTCTTTCTTTGTTAAAGATAATTTGAGCAATTATTCTGGGTTTATGATATAATATTTGTTATCTAGGCGAAAAAGCATGATGAAAATGGATTGAGAATTAAATCTATTGTCAAGGACTTTTTAATTTTTATTAATTAAAATATATAGATTTTTTTAAATCTGGATGTTTCTATGTTTCTTCCGCGGCCTCCGCGATCTCCACGTCATCCGCCTTCCCCATATCGGTACTTGCGTCGGTTTCTTTGTTAACGTCTGGCTGTAATGAATTTGAAAATAGAAAATGATAAAAATTTTGTATTTACATAAAAACTTATTTACATAAAAACTTATTAGATTTGGGTAAGTTAATTTTAATATAACATATATATAAATTTTTATAAACTTTGAAAAACAGCACTGGCCCGGCGTGAGCGGCTGCATCTGGTCACTGGTCTCGGTGCAGGTGGCTATGTCGCCGCTGGTCCTGGCGCAGGCGGCCGCGTCCCTACGAACTGCTATTATGTCCTTTAATTTAATATATCTAGCTTGGTTCTCAGAGCCGCTAATTCTAAATCTTTTGAGTCGTCCATCATTAAGCTAAAAGAAAATCATGAAAAATAACTTAATGAATGAATATATAAATTTTGTTATAATAAAATAAATTATTACATCTATTTACATATTATCTACATCAAACTTTTTTTCTTCTTTTGTTTTTCACGGATCATGACAGACATAGTGAAATTATAGAAAGTGAGCTATGTAGCTCCTAAATGTAGTGGGAGCAGATAGCCAATTATGGGGGACACATTTTATGAAAATTCAATATGGTTTACTATTTCGAAGTATATGGTCACATACGGAGCATTTATATTTAATAAATGGACGCTTCGTGATTGATATGATATTCTCCCACTCTTTGTCACCATTATACGTAATAGTTCATCTTCTATAATTTCACCACGGACGGTGATAGTTCGCGCCTTTTGAATATGACTAAGTTTACTAACCCTCAATTTGAAGCATCGTGATTGGTCCGCCATTTTTCTTAAATCACGTTATATTAGGTCTGTTCCAAAATCTTGCCAGTACTAGAAAATCTATAATGCACGTAATGTAAACTATAGATTTTTAACACTGGCAGTAAATTTTGGAATACAATCTAGGTCTGTTTTATATTTCTGCACTCTTTGAACTAGTGTACACGATGCACTAAAGCTCAAGACACAATGCGAGAGAATAGCGATAATGATAGAAGTAACACGATTTCAACCTATCAGAAACTGTGTATATCCGATTTCTGATAGATTGAAATCGTGTTATTTCTATCACTATTGCTATTCCTTCACATTGAGTCTTGGATTTTAGTTGAAGCGTATTATAAGTTTCCATCGAGAGTAATGAGCCTGATTTATGCTTCGATCTTAACCCTAAAATCTTAACCCTTTGCAGCACGGTGGCATTTTGATCAATTATATCAGTTATTCATGAATAAGATTTGATGTGCAATAATACGAAATATTTGAAACACGATACAAATCTCATGAAAATATTAAATAATTTAAATATTATATAATTTCTGGGGGTTCTCGGAATCACTGATTACGAATCTGACCTCGGATTTTTAAAATTCAATATGGCGGATCAAGTTGCAAAAAGTGATTTGATGTAGAAGAAAGGTATTCGTCAATTTTTTGAAATCGCTAATTACAAATCTGGAGTAGGAAAAGCAAAATTGCAAACAAATATTTGAAGTGATTATGAATTTGAAGTCAAAATTATACAAAAAACATTCTCAATATTCGTTGGTCATGTTTGACTTACAACTTTGAATTTCATAAATCCAACTCCAGAATTGCAATCGACTTAAAACTTACGTAGTACTCACGAGTACCTAGTTTCATCAAGATCAAATCACTTTTTGCAAATCAATCCGCCATCTTGGATCCGTCATTTTGAATTTTGAAAATCTGACATACGATTTGTAATCAATGAGTCCGAAAACTTGAAGATCATATAATGTTTCCCACAGAGCGAGCAGCAATTTTCAACACTATAGCAAGAGGCATTTTGGGACAATCAACAATACTTAACGGAGGGTCAAATCTCATTGATGAAGTATCGATAGAAAGATCGTAATCTCAGAATGGACAAAGTTTTGGAACAAATTTTTGATATTCGGCAATATTAGTGTTGAATTGATAGGGATATATTTGATCGGTAGACTTATCAAATTATTTCTTGACACATTCGTACATGGATACGCCTTACACACAGTATATGTCAGTGTATTTGTTAGGAGCCATATGGGATTCGCTTACCCAGCTCCTGTTACACTTAGAGAAAAATAGACCTAAGAACGGAAAGTCCAGCGCTCCAGCGCCTGATGCGCTTGAGCGCAATGACCCCAAATGTGGAGAGACTTTACTCCTCAGAGAAACGAAGGCAGAACGAACTTATCCCCTCCTCCTGCAGAAACGACAGCTTACTTTGGAGGTCAGAAATTAAAACACTTGTGTTCTATCTCCCTATTATAATACATAACCGCATGCTATGACATGTCAGCATGTTACACTATGCAGATTTAATCACTTAAACCGCATGCTACGCCATGCCGACATAACTTTTAAAGGAAATTTTCATGCTACGTCATGCGTCCATCCATTCTAACACTCGTAAGAAAAAAGGAAAATCCCATTATTAATTTGTAGAAAATGGATAGGGAATATCAAAGGATCTAAGCCACGGGTTCTTACTCACCCTCATCATCATCAAGATCATCAAGATAGACTCACCTTCTTGTGGATCCAGCTCTACCACGTCCGAGAAGATCTCGAGGAACTACTTGAAGATCTCACATGCTGGACGAAAAGGACAAGGATTGATCCACAATCCCAACCACATGCTGCCAGACGAATACATCGCGGTTGCGAAGGAAAAACCTAGCAACAGGGAGTAGTAATGGACTTCGAAGGAAGAGATAGTAGCATTAAGAGACTGGGATCGTGTCAACCGACGCCCGATCATCGACACATTGGAGAATTTCGGGAGAATGAATTGGCAAGTCATTCTTTGTGGGCTTACCCACTTTAGCCCCATCGAATTAAGACCCAGGTGGAAGAGTAGGGCACTTACTAAGACTCTACTAGGAAGGAGAGAAGGATGGATGCGGATCTTCGAGTCCGAAGAAATCTATGGTACTGTCATTACGCTTGAATTGAAGCGTGAAAGCGAGGATGAAATGAGCAGCCTGCAAGATCTGCTCATTACCATGGGATATGCTCCATACTGCGAAGATAGTGTTAATAATACCTGGCATCCTGTAATAATATAAGTCTACATCTTCATTCTTATGAAGATTATATTAAGACATTTTATATATTCTATATTTTATGTATCCCCATACATATATTATTATTATACTCGTATAAAATTCCCTTTATTTCATTATATTATTATAATTTATATTTGTAACATCAATACATATACCAACATAGATTTATAAGTATTATGTGAACTTTTATCTATCATTTTTGTTATTTTTTTTTATATTATTAGACTAATCGCATCTTTAAATCAACATAATTATGTTAACATTATATTTTTAGTATAACGGATATGCGGGATTAATAAAAAAAAAAGGAAAAAATTTATTTTTATAAAGAAAAACAACACAAAAATATATAATAAATAAAATAAATAAAAAGTATTAGGTGTACAACTTTGCTTCCGCCGTTTTTTTCCGAAATTCGAGATTTTATTGTAAAAAACTGGTTATACATTTATGATTCAAAGTATTGTCCATCGCTGGCCACTACTTTCTCCCATCTTTCGGGTAGCGTACGAATCCCGCGTCGAAAAAACTGGTCATCTTTTGAGGCTATCCACGAATCGATCCAATTTTTTACTTCTTCATAAGACCGGAAGTGCTGGTCAGTCAGGCCGTGTGCCATTCGAAACAAGTGATAGTCAGAGGGAGCAACGTCTGGAGAATACGGCGGGTGGGGTAGGACTTCCCATTTCAACGTTTCCAAGTATATCTTGATCACTTTCGCAACATGGGGTCCAGCATTGTCATGCTGCAAAATCACTTTATCGTGTCTCTCGTTGTATTGCGGCCGTTTGTCTTTCAATGCTCGGTTCAAACGCATCAATTGCGTTCGATACCGATCGCCTGTGATTGTTTCAGTCGGTTTTAACAGTTCATAATACACTACGCCGAGCTGGTCCTACCAAATACAGAGCATGACCTTGGAGCCGAATATTCGGTTTGGCCGTCGACGTGGAAACATGGCCGTGAACTCCCCATGATTTTCTGCGCTTGGGATTATCGTAATGAACCCATTTTTCGTCCCCAGTCACAATGCGATGCAGAAATCCCTTCCGTCTTTGCCTTTCAAGTAGCTGTTCACAAGCAAACAAACGCCGTTCAACATCTCTCGGCTTCAATTCGTACGGCACCCAATTTCTTTGCTTCTGAATCATTCCCATGGCTTTGAGGCGTTTTGAAATGGCTTGTTGAGTCACTCCCAATGTTCGTGCCAATTCTTCTTGATTTTGACATGAATCTTGCTCAAGTAATGCTTCCAATTCTGCATCTTCGAAAACCTTCTCTCTTCCACCGCTATGCCGGTCTTCGACGTCAAAATCACCGTTCTTAAAGCGTTGAAACCACTCACGATACGTTCTTTCATTAATAGCGGCCTCACCATAAATATTTGAGAGATTTGAGATTCAGCATGAGAGCATGAGCCTCAGCCGCAGATTTCTTCATATTGAAGCAAAAAATTAAAACCTCCCGCAAAT